CAGACAGACAGACAGACAGACAGACAGACAGACAGACAGACAGACAGACAGGAACAAGAGAGGGAAAGTAAAGAAGTAGGGCCTACCAGTGGCACCCTCCAACCACCCACAAAGAGTAGTTAAACACGCCTCAACAATGAACACACAACGGAGGAAGGAAATACTGTCTCTGGAAACGGAAAGCGAGGTCGGGTTACATTTCACGAGCGTCATAGAGTGCCGTCATTTCCTGTGGGTCGAGACTAAGAACCAAACAAAAAACTAACAGAACAAAACAATACCAAAAAACAAACAAACAATAAAACAAAACAAACTATAGAACCGTCTGGTAGTTTGTGGGAGTGCAGAGAGGCACAACGACGCAATTGCTATTGTTTATTGCAAGGGGATCAGACAGACAGACAGACAGACAGACAGACAGACAGACAGACAGACAGACAGACAGAGGCGGGTGGACAGACGGACGGATGGACAGATTAACAGTTTAGTTTTTAATAAGTCTAACGGCACTTGCAACACAATAAGGTCATATAAATGCTGAAGATTAGAGGTGTTACAAGAGAGTAACAATCACAAAAAAGAGGAGTGATAAGGACGATAGATGTTTGATAGGAAAGAAGGAGCAGACCACACCAGAGCATCCGCCAACCACCCATAGACAGAAAGACAGGCACAATAGAGGAAACGAAAAGAAGAAGGGCCTACCAAACCCGAAGTCCCCTCTGAGAACTGTCCCCACTGTCATCTTGAGAGCTTGTTTGGTTTGTCTTGAGAGCTTGTTTGGTTTGCCTTGAGAGCTTGTTTGGTTTGTCTTGAGAGCTTGTTTGGTTTGTCTGTTTGACTAAAAAGAAGCCCATCGAAATAATAATTGGTGAAATGAAGACCGGCCCCACTTTTCTTCTTTCGCTTTCGCTTTAGTCAGACTTCTGCGCCACGTGCGACACAGTACGGTCATGCAAGGCCGAATATTACAGGCGTTACAAGAGAGAGTAATAAAAACATTTTTAAAAAGGAGAGATCAAGGCGATAGATGTTTCAGATTTTGATTTAGTAAAAGTTTTACTGCACTTGCAACACAATAAGGTCATATAAGTGCAGAAGAATAGAGGTGTTACAAGAGAGTAACATACACAGGAAAGAAGGAGGGGAGATAAAGACAATAGATGTTTGATAGGAAAGAAGGAGGGGAGATAAAGACAATAGATGTTTGATAGGAAAGAAGGAGGGGAGATAAAGACAGTAGATGTTTGATAGGAAAGAAGGAGGGGAGATAAAGACAATAGATGCTTGATAGGAAAGAAGGAGGGGAGATAAAGACAGTAGATGTTTGATAGGAAAGAAGGAGCAAACCACATCAGATAAACCCGTCAACCACCCAAAGCAAAATAGACAGACGGAAGTTTTTTAGTTTTAGTAGAGGGTTTTACGGCGCTCGCAACGGGGGGAGAGAAGACAGACAGACAGACAGTTCAATGGACCGATCGAAAGATAGATAGATAGATAGATAGATAGATAGATAGATAGATGGATGGATGGATGGATGGATGGATGGATGGATGGATGGATGGATGGATGGATGGATGG